TCAAACCTGGTTAGCACTATAACTTTTCTCAAATGTGCAGGCCTCTACTGCTGTTGTAAGACACATCCCCTTTAGTTCACAGTAATAAGTCTTTCTGTTCTTTTCTACTTCATTTTATTATTCTAATATAAGGTAGTAACAGAAAGAGGAACTGTTGATATTTATTTTGACTGACAGTTTTCACACATTCAACTTCATCGGTCATCTTATTTTTGAAGATGTCAAACACGTTATTGCCACAAACACACAGCAGGAAATGAAACAATGTTCACCTTTCTTCATCTGATAAACGGATTAACAAGAAACTAAAAACATAGTAATAATAATAACAATAAATTAGATTATTTTTTACCAAGGGTTCAACATAAGGGCAATGATACGATGATTTCAAGCTGGTTTATCTTGAGCTATATAAAGAGTGTCCTTAGACTGTGATGAGAAATGAGTGACTGTTTATTTATACTCTCCAGCATGTCACTTATTCAAGTGTGAAATGACTATAACTAACACAGGAAGTGCCACTGTCTACCTTCACCCCTCAGCCCACACATGAAGAGGCAAGTGAGATCATGAAGAAGATTAAAAAAAACAGATGAAAAATATTAAAACATTTTTGTTTGTGTTATTTTGTTTATTAAGATAAAACAAAAACAAACCAGAAAAACTGAAAAAGCACACTTACAAGGCACACAATTACCTGTTATATGTACATGTCATTTTTCATTTTGTTACTTACATATTTTCATGTTATGTTCAAATCAATTCCCCAAAAGTAGCCACTTTATAAAAAACATGACAACATGGCAACTGTCTAGGATGGCTGGATGCCTCCAGGGTGAAGTATTCTGAGCATGTTCTAGCAGGAGGAGGTTCTGGAGCAGACCCAGGACACAGTAAAAAGATTATATTGCTTGGCTATCTTGGGAGCAACTAAATGAACCGGAGCGGGGCCAGGATGAAGGAAGTCGTCTTCTCTGCTGACACTTTTGCTCCAACGAACCAAACCCTGATAAGTTTTAAAAGATGAATGTTTTTTAAAGTGCGTTGCCTTTCCTCTGTACTTTCTTTTTTCTAATAGACTCTTTTAAAAATTAAAGGAAGCTGCATTGATGCACACGCACACATTCAGCCTCCTCAGTCATTTTTAATTCTTCGTGGTGTCAAACACATCACTGAGGGAACGGAAACAACATGCACCTGTTAAAAATAACTTTATGATTTTGAAATGTGTTGCACCATTGGTGTGTTAACATCAGGGAAGTGACATCTCACTAATCACAGGAAACACAAATGATCTTAAAGAGCCATCGGATGCAGCCCCATCAAGATTAAGAACAAGAAAGAAGTGAGACAGAGAACCACAATGGATGAATTCATATGGATTCAAATGTTTGCATTGCTGCTGATTCAGATTACAGGTAAGGTTGTTGGGCGCTGTTTTGGTTTATGGAATTTTGGACCGTGTTTATTGTTGTGGTGATCTTTTTCTTAGTCTTGGTATGTAATAGTTTAGTTTTCGTGTGCCTCTTTGTTTCATCATTTTCTAGGTACTTGTTTATTTAGTCACTTTCCATGGGAAATATGTGCAGCAAAACACAATTTTATATGACGACCTTTATCCTACAACACAGCCTAAACTCTCTTAGACAAGCTTTCTTGCAAATTTTTGAAATATTTCTCCAGGCTTCTTGAAAGACATTCAAAACTCTTCTTTGGATGGTGGCTGCCTTTTGCTCTGTTTTCTGTCATGATGATCCCACACTGCTTGTCCAGAGTCTGGGGAGGCCAGTCGTGATTTAATTATTTCTTTTAACTATTTTTATATTTTTATTTTTTACATAGAGCCTCAAACATGTAAATACACATAAATCTAAATTTATCAGGAGGGATTTTGGCCCACTTCTCTTTATACACACTCTCTAAATCCTTTGTTTCTTGGCTGCTGCTGGGCAACTCAAAGCTCCAGCTCTCTCTACAGATTGTCAGTACTGAAGTTCAGCAAACTCTTTTGTTGCCTTGGAGAAGTGTTCTGGTCATTGTCAGATACATAACGGTATACATTTTCCATGGTGCTAGCCTCAGGTGTGCCCAGACCTAACCCCACCCAAGCCCACAGTGTGGGTTTCATATGTGTCTTAAGGTAAATAAGATATGTGTAGAGTGTTTCTCAAAAAAAAACCCAAAAAAACCTGCTACTTTAAATTCACTTGCTTATTCAGATTTTCTGGCAGATTTTTATACTGTTGTTTTATACCTTCTCTCAGACTCCTATTTGTAATCAAATTTGTGCTATGTTTTCATCTACTGCACAGTAATCCACTTCATTATTATAAATAGTGCACAGCAAACAATACCATGGTATGCCTGTACTCTTGGGCTGTGTGAGTCAGGCAAACCCATACTTATCCCTCTTTAAGGCTTCTGTGGTGGGAGGTTTGCCTGCTGCTTCCGGTTCCCTGACACTGCTGCTCTTGGCTATGCAAACTCCACCATGGCCTCCTCCTTCTGGGGTGGACGCACATCATCCTGATGTGTGGCCTCAGGTCTGGGGTTTCCTCAGTCATTCTCTGCCCACCTGGGGCTCTTATAGGCGAGCATTGTTGCAGTTTCCCACCCACCTAAACACACAGCAAAATGACATGTTTGCTTGTGTACCTTTCTCTGTTTTGTCTTTCAGGTTTGATATTTTGTATTTTGTTACAGATGCAGCACTTGGAGACACAGCAAGTGCCGATGTTTGCTTCATCATCGACGTTTCCCTATCTAACTACCCCCCTTTTGTTTCCCTTCAGGGTTTCCCCCTAACCCTTCTGTCCCTTATTTTTTCTATTCCTTCATTTTCTTTTCCCATCTTTTACCAACCTGGTCTTCACTCCCTGTCCACTTTAGCATAATACCCACAAGGATAATTATATGAATAATATAAGAAAGTAAAAGAAATAAAGGAAAAAATAACACTAGGCGCCTACACAGGGTCTACAGTGCTGCTTTTGGAAAAAGAAATATGTGTGGCATAAAAAAGCATTGTTCTACAAAAAAGAGTGTTGGACACGTGCATAATATTGTGTCTAAACTATCTTAATTCTTTTTCTTTAAAAAAAAAACAACTTTTGTATTTAACTTATTTTCTTATTTCTCTCCAATCCTGTCAGCAAGAACTGCAAATGTAACATCCATTGTTATGAAACTCGGAGATGACGTCACTCTGCTTTGTCTGAATGCGATGGATGACCAGAATACCTGTAACAATACAATGTGGGCCTTTGCTTCAAGAAACAAACCAACAGCAGAGCTGTTCAGGTTTGGGGAAATTGGTGAATATGCCAAATCTAAATCAGACAGACTGACTGTTGCTGTAAACTGTTCTCTGGTTATAAAGAAGCTCACAGCTGAGGATGTTGGTCTTTATTTTTGTCAGCAATACAAGTTGGGGAAAAAACAAGCGCAACACTCTCTACTTCATCAGTTGGTGGTTGATCTCTCTCTTATTACTTGTGAGTATTTACACTTAAAAAAATATTGTCTGCTCAAACTGAAACTTCAGGCATGAAGATTCCAGCAATGTGGTTGTTTAATTTCTTTCTCTCACATTATCTCCATCTTCACCAGTGAATGAACATAAAGACAATAGTAAGGCAATTTTAAACTGCTCTGTGCTGCCATATGAAGAGTGTCATCACACAGTGAAGTGGCTGATTGACGGTCAAGATGTGGACAAAGATAACAAAGAAGTATTGACCATGCAGACTGACTGCTCCACCACTGTGTCTTTTCCAAAATCCCATGAATTATACTCATTAAAATATAACTCAGTGAAATGTGAAGTGACTGATACTGGCACAGGAGAAGTGCAGCAGTTTACCTTCATCAGCAATCAGCGCTCTGGCCAAGACACAGGTGAGCTCATAATCATTTACTGGATGGATTTCAAGTTTTTGAAGTCCAAAGACATGCAGCTTGTGGGGATAGGTTAATTGGATAAT